TGCTGCTACCATAGGACCAAAGAGCTATTATCCCGTGCATATATCTCAGAGAAACTAAGACTCATGTCCATAGAGAAATATGTATGTGAATGTTTCTAGCAAGTTCATTGAAAACAGCCCAAGATTGGAAATAACACAAAACACAATGTCCTTCAACCAGTGAATCATTAAACACATCAAGGTGCCATAAAGACTTACTCAACAATAAAAATAAATAAACTATTTTATTTTTTATTTGATAAACTATTTTATCACCGTGAGATACACAGTCACAAGTTTGCTCTGCCTGGGTTTCGGTCATACAATATTTCAATACCCATCCCTTCACCCGTGTACATTTCCCATCACCAATATTCCCAGTTTTGTCCACCACTGCCCTCCTCAGCCTCTCTCTCTCTCTCTCTCTCTCTCTCTCTCTCTCTCTCTCTCTCTCTCTCTCTCTCTCTCATTCTCTTCCCTCTGGGCATTATGGTTTGCAATATAGGTAACGAGAGGTTATCGTCTGTAGCCCTTTACCTAGTTTCATCACTCAGTTCTTGTTCAGAGTGATCATTTCCAACTATCATTGTCATAGAAGTCCCTTCTCTATCCTAACTGCTCCTCCCCCCACCATGTACTTGTGGCAAGTAGTGGACCATTCATGGACCAGTCCTCCCAGCCCTTCTTTTTGCTGTATGTGAGTATTGGTCTCATATTACACTTTTTTAAAAAAAAATATCTCACAGATGAGTGCAATTATACTATGTTTGTCTCTCTCCCTTTAAAAGAAATAAACTGGGGCTGGAGAAATAGCACAGCGGGTCAGGATTTGCCTTGCACGTGGCCAACCTGGGTTCGATTCCCAGCATCCCATATGGTCCCCTGAGCACTGCCAGGAGTAACTCCTGAGTGCAGAGCCAGGAGTAACCCCTGTGCATCGCCAGGCGACCCAAAAAGCAAATAAATAAATAAATATAAAAGAAATAAACTCTTGCACATACAACCTGGGTAAATCTGCAGAGAATATGCAACTTTTTTTTTTTTTTTGCTTTTTTGGGTCACACCTGGCAATACACAGGGATTACTCCTGGCTCAGCACTCAGGAATTACCCCTGGCGGTGCTCAGGGGACCATATGGGTTGCTGGAAATCGAACCCGGGTTGGCTGTGTGCAAGGCAAATGCTCTACCTGCTGTACTATTGCTCCAGCCCCAAGAGAATATGCAATTTTAATTAAAAAAGTAAATCACCCAAAGTTCTTTATCATATGGTTTCGTTAAAATAAGTGATTAAATTATAGAACCAGAGAGCAAATTTATTGTTGCTAAGAGCTAAGGAAAAGAACAAAAAGAAAATTAATATGGCTATATGAAGGCTACCTGAGGAATTCTCATGGTGATGAAAGTACTTTCTGAATTTTCTAAGGGCTGAGAATGGAACCAAATTTACACACTTGGGGGGCATGTACTCTGCCACTGAGTTTAATCTCCATTTCCTTTTCTGCATTTTGACTTTTATAGTGTCAAAATCGTGTTTGCAAAATTGTATTTTATATTTGCAAGATGCTAGCACTGTTGCAATGGGTGTGGAAGGATGACACACCAGGAAAACTAGAAAATAAAATTGGTCCTTTAAAATCTCACCCACCAGAGGGGTAGCCAGGAAGATAGGCAATAGGAGGTGTGGGACCGGGAGAGAGCAGGAGATGAAAGGGAGGCCCCAGTCGCGTCAGGCTCTCTCTGCCCCCACACCTCTGCCCAGACAGATGGCAGGACCACAGAGATCTCTCCCCACACACATACAACCATGGCCAGAGAATAGAGAAAGCTGAGGGGACAGGGAGCCCCTGGGGTCCAGTCCTAGAGAGGCCCAGCGAAGGACAAAGGAGTGGCAAGCACCAGCAAAGCAACACAGGTTCCAAGGTTCCAGCTGCAGATTTCATGCACTGCATGCCCTGGACAGAGATGAAGCAGGGTCAAAACCAGGCCACAGCACCCTGGAGGTGAGCAGAGGGCGAGGGATAGAACCAGGATATTGTAATCTGGATCAGATATCAAGGGACCGATGAGTCACTTTATACACGGGTAAAAGGACAATCCTTTTGGACACGGGGAAGTGGCCCAAACCCGTGTAATTAAACCGCACCATGAACTTTAACTTCTTCTGTTTTTGTTTTTGGGTCACACCCAGCATTGTTCAGCAGTTATTCCTGGCTCTGCACTCAGAAATTACTCTTGGAAGTGCTTGGGGGACCATATGGGACACCAGGGATGGAACCAGAGTCAACTGGTGTGCAAGGTAAGCACCTTACCCACTGTGCTATCTTTCTGGTCCCTGAACTTTAACTTCTTAAGCATTCAAGTTTTGTATGCGAATCTTTCAGACAAGACTCAAGAACCCACTAACTCAGAAACAGACCTATTTCTGTGTCAACAAGACTCTCTTGGCCCTCAAATAAAGACATTTAAAAAACTCTGACAGTTGCTTTTGGTAAAGACAATATAGTGCTTTTAGAAAAGCCTAAATTTCCACCTTTCCCCCCTTGGCGACGGTGGCATGGTGGCTGCCATGTTTCAGAGCCTAGTGGACAGCCAGGTATGAGACTGCAGTGATGAGGCACTCGGGACCTCAAGGGATGGGGGGTAGAACCTGCCCTTCTCCCTGCCCTGACAAGGCCCCTAAGTTGCCACCCATGAATGCCTCCTCCCGCTCCTGAACGACCATGATCCCAGAGGCACACAAACCAATCTCAGAACCCAGTGGCTTTTGGCAGTAATCCCTCCAGTCTTATTACTAAAATATCAGAAATAAAAATCACGTGGCTGCGATAGTGGCCATGCAGCATCATATGCTCTTCATAATCAGCAATAGAAAAAAAATTATCTAATGATGTCTTTTTATCAGTTCTGATTGTTGGGGAAAATTCCAAATAATAATGGTGGGTCTTTTGTTGTAATGTTGAATGTGATCAACATAGAGAGAGAGAGTAAAGTGAAAATCTGCCACACAGGCAGGGGGAGGGGTGGGAGGGAGGTACACTGGGGTTCTTGGTGGTGGAAAATGTGAACTGGTGAAGGGATGGGTGTTTGATCATTGTATGAGTGACCGAGACTTAAACTGAAAGGCTTTGTGACTGTTCTCATGGTGATTCAGAAAATAAAAATTTTAAGAAAGTTTCCGTTCATTTCATCACCCCATTTTCTGATGGGGTTGGATGTTTTCTTCTTATGGAATTCAACCAGTGCTTTGTATAGCCTTGATATCTACCCCTTATCAGATGGGTATTGGGTGAGTGTCCTTTCCCATTCTGTAGATTGTCTTTGTATTCTGGTCACTGTATCTTTTGAGGTGCAGAAGATTCTTAATTTAAGATAGTCCCATTTGTTTATCTCTTTTTCCACTTTGTTGGTCAGTGGAGTGTCATCTTTGAAGATACCATTAGCCTCAATATCATGGAGAGTTTTGCTGATCTTGTCTTCAATGTACCTTACGGATTTTGGCCTGATGTTGAGAAGAAATCTGAATGGCTAAAAGGGACAAGAGAAAATGCTCTACAGCACTAATCATCAGGGATATGCATATCAAAACAACAATGAGATATCATCTCACACCACAGAGACTGGCCCACATCCAAAAGAACAAAAGCAACTGGTGTTGGCACTGATGTGGCAAGAAAGGGACTCTCCTTCACTGCTGGTGGTAATGCCGACTGGTTCAGCCCTTTTGGAAAACAGTATGGACGATTCTCAAAAAATTAGAAATTGAGCTTTCATTTGACGCAGCAATACCACTCCTGGGAATATATCCCGGAGAGACAAAAATGTATAATCGAAATGACTTCTGCACTTCTATGGTCATTGCTGCACTATTCACAATAGCCAAAATCTGGAAAAAACCTGAGAGCCTGAGAACAGATGACTGGTTAAAGAAACTTTGGTACATCTACACAATAGAGTACTATGCAGCTGTTAGAAAAGATGAAGTCATGAAATTTCCATATAAGTGGTACTACATGGAAAGTATCATGTTAAGTGAAATGAGTCTGAAAGAGAGGGATAGACATAGAAAGATTGCATTCACCTGGGGAATATAAAGTAACAAAATAGAAGACTAACACCCAAGAATAGTCAAGATAAGTACCAGGAGGTTCACTCCACGGCTTGAAGACCAGCCACACATGCTAGGGAAAAGGCAGCTCAGATAGAGAAGGGGAGCACCAAGTAAGGGGAGTTGGAAGGACCCTCCCAGGTTGGAAGATGCATACTGAAAGTAGACTATAGACCAAACATGATTGTCACTCAATGCCTCTTTTACAAATTAAGCACCCAAAAGGAGAGAGAGAACAAAAGGGAATGTCCTGCCACAAAGGAGGTATGGGGGGGGGGGGGCAGGGGGGGGGGAGGGATACTGGGATTAGTGGTGGTGGAGAATGGGCACTGGTAGAGGGATGGGTACTCGATCATTGTATAACTGAAACCCAAGCACAAAAATGTGTAAGTCTACAACTGTACCTCATGGTGTTTCACTAATAAAAATTTTTTTAAAAAATTAACCATGCATCTATATGTACAATAAATAAATAATTTTTTTAAAAAAGAAAAGCCTAAATTACTTTCTTTTCCTTCAAAACAGAAACCTCTGGAGTTCAGCAGGGTGGAGTAGGGTGGGCACCTGCTCTGCATGTGGAAGGCCTGGGTGGATCCCTGGCATAGCCCAGGCTTAGCCCCTGAGCATCACCAGGCATCCCCCCTCCACCACCTGCAATTTGTTCACTTGTTTTTCACTTTCCTTGACGCACTGCTTCAATTCTGCTCGTGATATGGTTTCATGTGGAAAGCATCTCAACCCTCACCTGCGCGACCCCCTCCCTCCACCAACATCTCAGGGTTCCACCCTCAACCTAAACACCAGATACACAAGAACAAAAACACAAACATCTCGCCAATTAGGCTTTTGCCAAAATACTAATTTATAATCATTTGTATTACTAACAGAGAAGTTATTTATAGGAGAGCAAGGTGTCTGTCATTCATTTCAGGTAAAAATCCATGATGAAAAAAGCTTTTCAAGTTTCATTGCTGGACTTATTGTTGAGTTAACATCACTTCAAAAAGACTCCTCCTAAAAGGAGAAAGAACAATTGATGATTTCACTTCTAAATGTAAAGGCAGTCATTCAAATGAATCACAATGCAAAGATCAGATTCTGAAGTGAGGGGCCCTAAGCGATCTGTCTCTAGGCGTCTGGCTGGCTGTTGGCCACAACCCTGGCCTCCAGGGAGACACACGAGCTGTGGTGCTCACATTGGTCAGACGTTAAAGCATTACGGTAAGCATATGCTTCAGCCTCAGAGAGGTCATTTTGATTGACTCTCTAAGCAGACCGAAAGGTTCTCTTGTCAGTGAATTAACTATAGAAATACAAGGGCTTAAGGGAATAAGTAAATGGACTCCTTGCTTATGAGAATGTGCTTAAATGACCCAGGAACTGAAGAGTTGTGTTGTAACATAATGAGGTGTGTGCGTGTGTGTATGTGTATGTGTATGTGTGTGTCTGTGTATGACTTTTTACTTTATACCCCTACTAAGACCTTAATACACTGATTTTCTTCCTTTCCTCATTTTGCTTTTGTGCCTTAGGAACACATTCGTGGTGCTCAGGGATGAATCCTGGCTCTGTGCTCTAGGCTATTCCCGATGATGTTCCAGGAACCATACATAGAGTGCTGGGATCAAGCCCAGGCTTCCTTCCTGTGAAGCACGTGACCTTTGAGCCATCTCACTGGCCACATTTCTCTTCTTATTGACTAATCATCTATTTTTCTCTTTTCTCTTTGCTTTTTGTTTGTTTGTGGTCTCCCTAGCAGTCTCCAGGGGCCCAGGGGCCACTCCTAGCGATACTCAGCCTGTCTCTGTGGGCTGGACAATTCCTGCCTGGGCTGTTGATACTATGCTGGGGGCCACCAGGACCATCCCCAGTATCCCCTGTGGTTATGGGGGTGGATGGCCAAAGCCTGCCAGGGATCAAACATCTGAGCATCGTCAGGTGTGGCCCCATCTGCTCCAATCATAGCCCTGTTTCTTCCAAATGTAATGCTCTTGCTTTGACTATTTAAAGCTTTTCCCATTCCAGAGACATTCCAAGCAAGTATATATTCTTCTTATCTTCACTCATGATTTCCAAAGACTATTTTGAGCATAATCTCCCCTTCTAAGGCTTCGTGCCATTCTGTCAGTGATAGGTGCTGGAACTCTGCAGAGGCCGAGCCTGGCCTGCACTGAAGGCTCTCAGGCAGGGCCCCTACAGAGAGCTGCCTCGCCCAGCTTCTGACACCCCCGAAAGGAACCAGTTAAATAGCCATTGGTGTGGGGGACAAAGCCCAGGGGAGCTCCGGAGCTCCTGGCCGGTGGGCTGAGGCAGCAGTTATAGCCATACTCCTGTTCACTCTTCCTCTGCCCTGTCCAACTCCCCCAGCCCCAGGGAAACGCTAGTGTTCCTCAGAGCTTGTCCTGGTGATCATGGAGCCTGCAGGGAACCCAGTTGAGGCAGGTAGGCTCAAGAGCCTCTTGCAGATTTAGTGACCTTCTGAGACAAGATGCTAGATATATTGCTAGGATCTTGCATTAGTATTGCACAGGAAGCCAGAATTAGTTGGAATCTTCTTGAGTGGTTTTATTTTATTGGGGGAGGGGTGATCACACCCAGAGGTGCTCAGGGCCATTTCCCAGCTCCAGGCCCTGGGGATGGCTCCCAGCAGGGTATGGCCAGAAATCAGTCCCAGGGCCTACATACAAAACACATGCTTCAGCTTGCTGACTCTCTTGACATGGAACCATTCTTAATAGGAAATCCTCAAACTTAGCCCGTATCCTCTTCCTATGAGCCTGAGTTCAATCACCACCAAAATTTTTCTTTTTTCTTTTTGGGTCACACCTGGCGATGCTCAGAGGTTACTCCTGGCTTTGCACTCAGAAATCACTCCTGGAAGAGCTCAGGGGACCATATGGGATGCTGGGAATAGAACCCGGGTTGGCTGCGTGCAAGGCAAATGCCTTACCCGCTGTGCTATCACTCCAACCCCCACCAAAATATTTTTAAAATAAAAATTCATGAGCCAGGGAGATGACCCCAAGGGCTGAAGCACATGCTTTGCCCGGGGGAGGTTGATGGTTTTTTCCCCAAATTGCATGGTTACCTCAGAACTGCAGGAAATGACTCCTGAATATTGAGACCCCAAGCACCACTCGGTGTGGACCCCAATAAATAAATTAAATAATTAGAATTTAAAAAAAATATTGCAGGTCACCTCTTTACCAGGAAAATTATCTCTTATAGGTGATAGCTGTGTTTTTTTCTGGAGAAATTCACTCCAGAATAACAAGCATAGTCATATAGTTTTGCACACAAATACAAAAGTAAAATTCTCCTCACCCCCACCACAAAGAAGACTTCATTTTTAAGAATCATTGATTCACAATCAAGGTAACAGGAGTTCATAACCTCAAATATGTTTTCTTCTGAATAAAGAGTGAAGAGAAGGCCAAAAAAATGCATATGAAAAATGTTCTAGGTCAAGGATCCAAATTCTGGGACCACATAATCCCATGAACTGCACTGCACCGTAGCACTGTCCTCCTGTTGTTTATAAATTTGCTCGATCCGAACGGGACCAGTAACATCTCCATTGTGAGACTTGTTGTTACTGGGTTTGGCATATCGAATATGTCATGGGTAGCTTGCCAGGCTTTGCCGTACAGGCGAGATACTCTCGGTAGCTTGCCAGGCTCTCCGAGAGGGACAGAGTAATCGAACCAGGGTCAGCAGATTGGCCGCGTGCAAGGCAAACGCCCTACCTGCTGTGCGATATATCGCTCCAGCCCCATGAACACCAAACGAAAAAAGAGCTTCTAATTCCTCTTCATATGATGTTATCCGTGGGACTTTGATAACCAAATACCAGACTCAACTTACATTTTCCGTTTTTATACCCTTATCTTCTGTGCCTGAGTGGTATTTTTGTGGTATATACCTTTTTGTGGTATTTCCTCTTGGTGCAATAGACGCTGACAATGGTGATAATCAGCATGACGGCAAACACAGTGACAGTGGAGGAAACGGTAATGACAATGTTGTCATGAGTTGAACCCCTCTTTTCACACCTTTCTCCCATGTACCACCAGTCATTCCCCGCCGGGCACCTGCAGTCAGAACACAGTTCAGAAATTGGAGTGTGGTATTTGGGGATGCAGGTCACCATTCAGATCATTGACCTAGGATACTATTTCTCCTGCTCAGTGAAGAGGGAGGAAATTAGAGTACACCAGCAAGTAGGCAGAGTCCATGGATAACAGCAGAGGAGTCACCCCCAATCTGCTACTCAAAACATCAAATCCAGGGTGAGGAAGGAAGGTGATAATGTTGCACCCAGAACCCCTGCCCTCCAATTTCCAGCTATCTGCCTTCATCATTTCTTCTTAGAATTTAAGTATAAGGTCAGTCACACTTAACTACACTAAACAGTTGTGGACACTTCATAAGATGATATTTGTGAGAATTGTTTCAGGCAATCAGAGTATCGTGTACTATTCTTTCAGAAATAATGTCAAAGTTCCAAATGGATAGAGAAAAATACATATCCTGTGGATGGTTTTCTTTTCTTTTTTTGGGGGGGGTCACACCTAGCAATGCACAGGGGTTACTCCTGACTCTGCACTCAGGAATTATTCCTTGCAGTGCTCAGGGTGGGAGTCAAATCCGGGTCAGCTGAGTGCAAGGCAAAAGCCCTACCTGCTGTGCTATCACTTCAGCCCCTTGTGGATGCTTTTTGAGGTGAGAATCAACAGGTCCCATTCACATGAGACATTAGTATTTAATTCTACATTGCTGGAATGGTAGCATTTCTAACCAAAGAAGGGAAAGATCTCACCTGAACTGTCCCTTACCTGCATACAGCTTTGTTATCCTGGATAGTACAGACACCATCATTCTGACACCCAAAGTTTTCACAGAGGATATTATCAGGGGTTGGTTTTGGGTTTGGCTGGGGGCTTGTAGAATTGAGGAAGGATATGTCTACAAAAGGAAAAAGAGAGCACATATAAAAACAGTTTTATTTCTTTGTTTTGTTTTGTTTTGTTTTGTTTTGTTTTGTTTTGTTTTGTTTGTAGCCACACCTGCTGATGCTCAGGGGTTACTCCTAGCTCTGCACTCAGGAATTACTTCTGGCAGTGCTCAGAGGACCATATGGGATATCAGAATCAGACCTGGATCCGCCAATGCTAGGCAAGAATCTTACAAGCCGTGCTATTGCTCTGGCCCCCAGTTTTACTTTTAACCAACATTTTATCTGTAGCACTGTAGCACTGTTCTCCCGTTGTTCATCGATTTCCTGGAGCAGGCACCAGTAGTAACGTCTCCATTGTGAGACTTGTTACTGTGTTTGGCATATCGAGTATGTCACGGTTAGCTTACCAGGCTTTGCCCCGCGGGCACGATGCTCTCCGTAGCTTCTCGGGCTCTCCGAGAGGGGCGGAGAAATCGAACCGGGGTCAGTCCTGTCGGTTGCGTGCAAGGCAAGCGCCCTACCCGCTGTGCTTTCGTAAATTTTTAAATTTTTGTTTGTTTTGGGGCCATACCTCGTGGTATTCAAGACTCACTCCTGGCTCTGTGTTCAGGGATCACTCCTGGAGGATTCAGAGGACCATCTGGGATGCTGTAGATTGAACCCAGGTCAGCTGCATGCAAGGCAAGTGCCTTACCAGCTGTTCTATCTTATAGATGCTCAAGTTTCACATTTCTGAGAGATTCAGATAAGGACTAGACAAGGAGAATAGTACCGAAATGGGAGGCAACATAGGACATGCCCTGGGGCCATGGTGTCTTTTCAGTAGAGAAAGTTGTGATGTTTGGTATAAGATGCTGGGTAGCCTGACAATAATGCTCTATTCTTTGCAATGCTTTATTTGGCTTCTGGTTCAACAGAATTGAAGAACATGTGAGTTTTTTCTCTGCTAAATAAAATGTTTTTCTGCTTGACAAGAATTGTTCCTGTGTGGTCAGAGCTATAGTACAGCAGGTAAGGTATTTGCCTTGCATTCAGAAAACCCAGGTTCAGTCCTCAGCATTCCATATGGTTCCCTGAGTACTGCCAGGATTCCTGAGTGCAGAGCCAGGAGTAAGCCCGAGCATGGACGAGTGGGGCCCCAAAACAAACAGACAAAGTTCCTCAATAATTTTGCCAAGAAGTATCACCTTGATTTACTCTAATTGACATTGATCTAAAAAAATTGATTTGTTTTTGTTTTTCGTTTTGTGGCTATACCTGGCAGTGCTCAGGGATTACTCCTGGCTCTGTGCTCAGGGATCACTCATAGTAGTGCATAGAGAACTGACTGGGAATTGAACTGGGGTCAGCTGTAAGCAAAGCAAGCACTTTAGCCTCTGTACTATCTCTCTGGATTATAGGTTTTTAACCATACCACTGGTTTTTTTGTTTGTTTGTTGGGTCACACCTGGCGATGCACAGGTGTTACTCCTGGCTCTGCACTCAGGAATTATCCCTGGCGGTGCTCAGGGGACCATATGGAATGCTGGAAATTGAACCTGGGTTGGCCGTGTGCAAGGCAAACACCCTACCCGCTGTGCTATTACTCCAGCCCCAACCATACTACTTTTTAAATCATAAGCAAAAGTCTGGCTAGAGAGCTAACTCAACGAATTGAGGATATGCTTTGCATGCAGGATACCCAGTTTCCATCCCCAGCTTTCATGGTTTCCTGAGCCCCAAGCCCGGAGTAACCACTGAGTGCCATCGGATGTGACCCCAAAACCAAAAGAGGAAAAAAATGTGATTTATTTACTGAGAAGTGAGTCTTTAATAGTCAGAATGTAAACTGTGACTTAAATGCCCTAAGTACCTCCAAGAGTGGCCCCTGAATACAGAGCCAGGAGGAGCCTTGAAAACTGCCAGACATGACCCCAAACCCAAGAAGAAAATAAATATAAACAGAGTAAAATCCTAGCACATCAGATATTAAAGTCACTAATATTACTGGAAAATGTTTTATTGTATACCATGGTCAAAAATTTTTTTAAACAATATATTAATGTCATTACTGATAAGATGGTGAACTCACGGCTGCCTCTCCCGGAAGGGAGTATAAAATGAGACTCCCATAGCCATGGCACAGGAGTTGGCACCAGGCTGCTTTCACTCGGGGTGTCCCAGAGGAGATCGGGTGAGAGTCCTCCCTGCCCCAAGGGACCCAGCCCCGGCAGCCAACCTCCACTACCCAACTGCCACCATGCTCCAGGCTGCTTTACAGACCACGCAACACATCTTAAGACACTTCCTACCCATTTTCCATAATTACCACACCATGTTTGATGGGGTTCAGATAGTAGGCAACAAATCAGTGAGAGAAATATTTTTGTATGCCTCGCAGAGAGCCCAGAAAGCTATCGAGAGTATCCCACCCACACAGCAGAGCCTACCAAGCTCCCCGTGGCGTTTTTGATATGCCAAAAACAGTAACTATAACAGGTCTCATTCTTCTGACCCTGAAAGAGCCTCCAACCATTGGGAAAGACGAGTAAGGAGAGGCTGCTACAATCTCAGGACTGGGACAAATAGAGACATTACTGGTGCCTGCTCGAGTAAATTGACAAACAACGGGATGACAGTGATACAGTGATACAGTGATACTGATAAGATATATGTGTGCACATATATAGTGCATATATGTGCCTTTTTACAAAATTGTAATTGAGTATTAGTAAATGGGGTAAAAAAAAACTTGTTTGTTTATTTGGTTGATTGGTTTTGCTCAAAGCTTGACTGGTAATGCTCAGGGGTTTCTCCTGGGTCTGCACTCAGGATCACTAGTGTGTATGTGTGTATGTTTATTTATTGATTCTTTGAAATTTGTTGTGTTTTTTTTTTAAAGAGAGAAGTATTTTATTTTTTTTCTTTTTGCGTCATACCTGGTGATACACAGGGGTTACTCCTGGCTTTGCACTCAGGAATTACTCCTGGTGGTGCTCGGGTGACCATATGGGATGCTGAGAATCAAACCTGGGTTGGCCACGTGCAAGGCAAACGCCCTACCTGCTGTACTATCACTCCAGCCCCCCTGAAATTTGTTTTTTATTGAATTGCCGTGAGATACAATGACAAAGCTTTCATGTTTGAGGTTCAGTCAAAGTTTCAGTCATACAATGATCCCTCCACCAGTATACATTTTCCACCACCAATGCCCCCAGTATCCCTCTCCCTCACCCATTGCACCCCTCCCCCTGCCTCTATGGCAGACAATTTCAGGAATCACTCTTGACCGTACTCAGGGGACCATGTAGGGTGTGCGGATTGAACTTGGGCTGGCTACGTGCAAGGCAAGGGCCTTTCTACTGTGTTATAAATCCAACCTAAGAAACATCTCTTAAGTTAGAGTGTGAAATGGAAACATTGTATTGTTTTAAAGATGCAAAAGCAAGAACACATAATATAAACTTACCCACATTTAACTAGCTTTATAGTGAATAACTTCTGTTTAAAAATATTTCAATAGAAAAATTATTTCTAAATCAATTTAAGGATTTTTTAAAAAGTTTTTAAAATAAACTTTAACCATAAATAAGAAAAAAGTTGTTCCTACCGATCCTGTTTTTGTTTCAATATCTGTATCCTCTAATGAACCTTTCTGGAAGAAGAAAAGGACAAAGATTTTCTTTAATATAACCTCTTTCTAAAGAAATCTGAAGGGAAGAAAAACTAATTTTCCAGAAACTATCCTATTGAGTAAGATAGATAGATCACCTCTATTAGAAAGTGACAGTGTAGAGAGACACACAAACGAATCTCGGAACTGAGAAACCTGCTGCAGAGATGCCTCTGGACTTTGCAATAGGCCACTGTCGCTGGGCTTCTCCAGACAAGGGCAGGTGCTGTCCCTCCACCTGCCTCCTAGGAATCCCAGTGGCCACCATTTTCCAGAACCAACGAGAAGGGGAGGAGCCTGTTCCACTCCTCCCACTCTGATGGGACAATGAGATGACATTCATGAACTGCCTCCGGCTACTTATTAAGCTCCTAAACGGCCATGATCAGAGACACACAAATGAATCTCTGAACTGAGCAGCTTGCTGCAGAGATCTCTCCAGACCCTGATTATTAACATTTTAAAATTCCAGGGGAGTATGGTGGCTCTTGTGGCCGCAGGACATCTTGTGCTATTCATAACAAGCAATACAAAACAAATTGTCTACCATGGTCTTTTTGGGCTGGAGCGATAGCACGGTGGGTAGGGCGTTTGCCTTGTACATGGCCCACCCGGGTTTGATTCCTCCATCACTCTCGGGATGGAGCCTAGTAAGCTACCAAGAGTATTCCGCCCACACGGCAGAGCCTGGCAAGCTCCCCATGACCTATTTGATAGGCCAAAAACAGTAACAGCAAGTCTCACAATGGAGACATTACTAGTGCCCACTCAAGCAAATTGATGAACAATAGGAGGACAGTGCTACAGTGCAGTGTGCTACAGTGCCTTTTCAGCAGGTTTGAGTGGTGGTGGGAAAATTCCAAATAATAATGCTGGGACTGGTGTCGAAATATTGAATGTAATCAAAGTAGAGAGAGTATTGTGGAAATTGCCACACAGGCAGGGCAGGGGTCGGGATGGTGGGGGGTACTACTCGGGATTTTGGTGGTAAAAGATGTACAGTGGTGAAGGGATGGGTATTTGATCATTGTATGACCGAAATTCACACATGAAAGCTTTGTAACTATCATGGTGATTAAATTTTTTAAAAAAGTGACAATGTAGTCCATTTCTAATTAATCTTGGGTACTTGTGTGATACTTATATTTATGAAATTCTGGAGTATAATATTAGTATAAAAATAAGAATTTATTTCTAAGTCTGCTTTTTTGGTCTAAAAAAATTTACTATTGCTTCATTCAGTGGCAATTAAATTCTTCATCTTAGAATCCTCACTTCTGGGGCTGGAGTGATAGCACAGTGGGTAGGGCATTTGCCTTGCACGTGGCAGACCCAGGTTTGAGTCCCAGCATCCCATATGGTCCTTCAAGCACTATCAGAAGTAATTCCTGAGTGCAGAGCCAGTAGTAATCCCCGTGCATTCCCAAGTGTGACCCAGAAAGAAAAAAACAATCCCCACTTCTTCCATTTAAATTATTTTCATATTTTCAATGACTCATACAAAAATTTTTTTGAAAATCACTCTTGCTCATTTCCTCCCATAACTTAAACCTAAAATGAAACCCAGAAGAACACAGTGAATAACCAGGGACAAGCAACTCAACATAGAAAAAGGACAACCTCTATAAACCATTTTATTGACCTACCTTCGGCTGTCAGTAGGAAATAAACATCATTTCCTTTGATATAATCTCTGCTTTTCAGTCTCTCAAAGGTTATAAAGGCAGAGGTTCCAAAGCCCCGACTCCTCTTAAAATGTGTTCCATTTGGGAAAACAGCATCTACTCCCACTTTGGAAGGTCTGTCCCAATAATAGTTATTACCTGAAAAAGCAATTTATATTAATGAAATGTGTTTAGCATCATCATAGCTTTTGGTGGTGAAAAAGAACAGATGAAGTGAAATACAGTTAGGATGGAGCTAACATAATTAAATGATGCTCTTGACCTGTGATGTATTCCCTGGCAAATCACTGGAGCTTGTTCATTTATTCTGCCCTGAAGTAAATGAGATTGTCTGGCATCAAGGACCATATTCTGGAATGAGTGGAGAGGTACCCCAACTTTTCAAGGAGGGATCACACCTATAAAACTGACCATCAGTAAAATTTCTCTACCCCCTAGACCCATTGTTTAGTGACCTTCAGAGTAACAGGCAGTCCTTTAAAAAAAACAAACTGACTCAATCGATATATTGCTAAGAGAGCTTTTAATATTAGCATCGAGCAATTTGTCTCATTGTGTTATTCACCTAACAGAGTCCTTCAGTAGAAGTCAGTGGAAAGCACAACTTACTGGAAAATGTGGTAACATAAATCATTCTCAACAGCTTTCAGAAAGAATAGCATTGTTTTGTTTTAAGTAAAGAAATTCTGAATGCCAGGTCTCTACAACCCTCTTTGTAATACTGCTCTTCTCTTATCAAATTAGGGTTTATTCTCTATGTTTCTCAATTCCATTTTTAATGCAGAATTTATATAGAGTATTCATAATCTCCTGTCACTGTCCAATGTTCACCTTTATTAGAATCTCAGGATGCAAAGAATAATTAAAATGAGAAATGAGTCTTCTCTAGGCTATTTCTTTTTCTAAAGACTAAGAAGGTGTGGCATGAAGTCACCATTACCAAGTACTTCAGAACTTAGTAAGCCATTCTTATACCCTTCCCAGCCTTCCAGAACACCTTCACAATTTCTTCCTTCTTTTCAAAAGCCACTCCCCAAAAAGAACCTAATTGACAACACCAGGGCAGCACAAATTAGGAACTCAGTACCTGAGGGGCTTCTTCAAACCAGGCCCCTCCACAAACTTCCTTTCTTGATCTTGATCTCCTAACAAACCTTCAGGGTTATTATTACTGCCCCAGTTTTGCTATTGAGGATACTGGGACTCCAAGAGATTACTTGCCCAAGGTAACACAGTCAACCTAACAGTTGACCTTGAGTTTGATCAGATGCCAGATGCATCAGACTCTGAAACAGAAACTCCCCATTACTACACTGACATTTCAGTTACAAGGCCAGCTCCTGTGCTTATGTGGGCAATACCATCTCCATATGCAGAGTCCCTGCTGATTTTCCTGAGACAGTTTCCTGCTGAGTGTCTGTCTACAATTGCTGAATCCTTCCAAACATCTTCCATTCCTCATATTTGTTTGGAGATTCAGAATTTCCTTAGAAACAGACTGTACAATTTCCCATCCCCAAGTCATTCATCCTTCCTAGAGCAGTGATGGAGTCTTAGCAATAAAGAAAATGAGCCACAAACCGTCCATCTTCAGGGGGTCTGTAGTTACACTCCGCAGGTTGGACATACGGCGGCGAATGTCAGGATTTTGATCCAAGAGTGTCATCGTGGTTTGTAGCCAAGGACATGGCCACTGTAATTGATCATCATTGTGGCCAGAGATCAAGTGGAAATATATTCCTGCATTAGTGGCATGGCTTAGATCCAAGCTAATCTGATAGGCATAACCGTTAGAAGAATAAAATGGAGGACTATATAGAGTTTCAGTTTTGTTGTCAAGGTAGTGTGTGAAATTCCTTATTTGCCAGATATGATGAGGGCACTGAGTCTCTGAAAGGTTGATGTCATCAATAGACAGGCCACCCTCTGATGGACTAGCACCACTGACCCCTTCGAACACCACTCTGAATTTATTGGCCACATTCAAAGATACGTGGTAAAGTTGCCAGGTCGTCATGGGAATATCTACAAAAAAGATATTAGAATCATTTCAAAGAAGCAAAGAATGTGTAGTTTGTGCACAAATGAACATTAGAAGTCTAGCTTTCGTGGATAAATGATCGCCCTAACTGAGACTTAGACCCGAAAGCTTTGTAACTGCTCTCATCGTGATTCAATAAATAAAATTATAAAAAATGAAAGAAAAATACTCAAATTTCCCGTGAAACCAGAGAGTGCTTACTTGAAGTACGTGGTAGTGGGGACTGAACCCGGGAACAGCCACTTGCAAGGCAAGGGCGTACCCACCATTCTATCACTCTGGCTGGAGCAGAGTGATAGCACAGCGGTAGGGCGTTTGCCTTGCACACAGCCAACATGGCTGACCTGAGTTCGATTCCTCCACCCCTCTCGGAGAGCCTGGCAAGCTACCGAGAGTATCTCGCCTGTACGGCAGAGCCTGGCAAGCTCCCCGTGACGTATTCGATATGCCAGACACAGTAACAACAAAGTCTCCAATGGAGACGTTACTGGGCCCACTCGAGCAAATCGATGATCAACGGGAGGGCCTTTACTGCATAGCACACGAAAAAAAAAATGATCGCCCTAGGCATACTGATTACTACAGATATTCTCATTCCTCCCACCCAGGCTCACTAAGGTATTTCTGGGGCAAAGACAACCTAATAATTGAAAGTTTACCTAATCTCTTCTCAGATAACTCATTCTTTCCCAAAGATAGGCAAACAAATAAGGATATGTAACTCATGAGTACTTACCTTACAAATGACAACCCATTCTGTGCTAATGGTCAAACAAGCCTGACATTCTATACTTGTTCCCAAGATTCCTGTGCTATTCAATGAAAGGCTTCTCTAATATACTTACAGCTTGTGGCCTGGCATGTAACTTAGTGTAGAGTGAATCTTCCCATGAAATCTGGGTTCAATCTCTTTCTCTCTGTGTCTCTCTCTGTCTTTCTCTGTCTCTGTCTCTCTCTCTCTCTGTCTCTCTTTTCTTATATATATGACTTCCTTCACGTGTTGAACCAACTGTTGTTAATCAGAAATTTATCCTAGAAAATCTATGCCTGAAGTTTTCTCCTTGGGTCACTTAAAAGTGGCTCAACATTTTATATATATATATATATATATATATATATATCAGGGACAAATGGAGACATTATTAATATATTACATTATTAATATATTACATATATAATATATTAGCATGCTACAGGGACAAATGGAGACATTACTGGCAAATCGATGAACAACAGGATAACAGTGATACAGTGGTATATACATGTATAAAATGAACCTCCTTGCAGATGTTCAAAAAGAAAAATGTCTGTGCTTCAGATTGTTCTCATTGTTAAACAAAAGGCAAATGTCATAAAGTGAATCAATTTTATACTCCATATTGCTCAACTTATTCATACCAAGATGTCAATATGTGGTATAAACCATAATAATCTGCCAGTCTCAGCTTCCCTTCCTCAGAATCCTCTTGAACATCTGTTTTAATAAAAACATCAGTAGGCCCAACTCACTAATGCATAATTAGGGTGAAGAATAGGTGCCCAATTGTGTTTTACTTTGTCTCCATTAAGGAAAGTCTCCAGAAGTCAACCCAAGTCCTAATAGTGTGAGAACATCCCTGGGGTTTGTAATTCAAGTGAGATATTAGAGTCTCCTTTCTGGTCTGATGGCTTATTTGGTACAATATAAACTGCAAATACTAAAGTATACATTTTATGAATGAAGACCATTTGAATAACATAAGAACCCCCAAACTAAGGTCAGGCCTAGTCCTCCCTGAGTCCCGTTCCTCCCTTATCAAATTCACAATTAAATTGCAATGGACCAGTAACTCTATTTGGTCCAATATAGTTTCCTTGGTAGTACAGTGAGTAGGGCATTTGCCTTGCATGCGGCCAACCCAATCAGCCCAGATTCGATTCCTCTGCCCCTCTCAGAGAGCCCGGCAAGCTACCAAGAGTATCTCGCCCACATGGGAAAGCCTGGCAAGCTACCCGTGACATATTCCATATGCCAAACACAGTAACTACAGGTCTCACAATGGAGACGTTACTGGGCCCGCTAGAGCAAATCGATGAACAATGGGAGGACAGTGCTACAGTGCTACAGTGCCCAAAACTGCAATGACAGAGATTCATCAATAATTTCTTAAGTGAGTGTTATGATATGTTACTGGCCAGAAAATGATCCTCACTTTAGCTTCCATACATGGTATAAAACAAGGAAGATCAAGCTCTAAGTTGAAATCATTGATGCCATACTCCCTGTTATATTATAAACTGTGGCATAAAAAGTTGACTGCCTCACCCTGAATTCAAACCATATGAGTGTTGAAATCGTACCTTTGATTTCTTTGACAAGACTTAGACTACCGTTCACATGGGCTGCAGTATACTCCCTGATGTAGATATTCAGTTGGTTGCTTGTACTTCCACTATTATACAAATAAAATTGCAAGCACTGAAATCCTCTTTTAGGGTACAGTGTTCTACTTTCCAGCATTGCTTTTCCCCCCACAGCCACGGAGCTGCTGTTGAAATGCATGAAGAAACCAGAACCTGTTAAGAAGACAAAAGCAGAATTGAGAGAAAGTTGATGCTGCATCTGTGAGTGGTGTCTTGTGAGCACTGGGGCTCCATTTAGTTTCCATTTTACTCAGGACACATTTCTTGATTATTTGCGGGGTGGGGTGAAAAGATGGAGAGGATGGAAGGGGCTTTCCAGTAGTCTTCAGGAAGCCTGGGGTTTCCTGGCACAACTTGGCAAACCAGGTAAGAGGCTCAATGTGCAAACACAAGGCTGCAGAGCTGTTTGGGTCCTGCAGTGCCAGGGATTATCAGGCCACCCCAGCGGTGCTTAGAGAGTCTCGAGCATTTAGTATGGTTCTAGGGGGCCAGGAGTTTATGAAAGAGACAACATTAGATCACCTCTCTCTTCTCTCCTCTCTCTTTCTCTCTTTCTCTCTCTCTCTCTCTCTCTCTCTCTCTCTCTCTCTCTCTTTCTGCTTGGATGATCACACTCAGTGGCACTCAGGGATAACTCTTGTTTTGATGCTCAGGGGCTACTACCAGGGGTGCTCAGAGGACCACATGGTGCCAGGGATAGAAGCTGTGTGTAAAGCACGTGTTTTGACCCCTTGACCTATCTCCCTGGCCCCTAGGTCACCTTTTCTTACACAGATGTTCATTTTCAAAAACTGACGAGAAGGGCAGGACAGTTACTCAAAAGGCTGGAGCTTTTGCTTCGGTAGAGGAGCTCTGGGCTCATCACTGGTGGCATAGGGTCTCCTGAGCACTACCAGGTGTGCACCACCACCACCACCACCACCCCCAGCGAAACAGAAAAAGGCAGAATTATTGCGTTCATGGGATAATTTCTCTCTGCCTTCTTCCAGTCCCCTCCACCTCCATCCTTTATGACCTTTGTGTGACCACTCACCACTGTCTAAAATCTACAGTTTATAAAAAAACTTGACTGGTTCTATCTGGCATAGAACATTGTATAATTATTTTTTAAATTTTTATCAGTGAAACACCATGAGGTACAGTTGTAAACTTACAAGATTTTGTGCTTGGATTTCAGTTATACAATGATCGAGTACCATTCCTCCAACAGTGCCCATTCTCCACCAACACTGATCCCAGTATCCCTCCCACCCCCTTTCCCCCCTCCCCCATTCCACCCTGCCTCTATGGCAGGGCATTCCCTTTTGTTCTCTCTCTCTCTCCTTTCGGGTGCTGTGGTTTGCAAAAGAGGCATTGAGTAGCAATCATGTTTGGTCTATAATCTACTTTCAGCATGTATCTCCCATCCTGGGAGGATCCTCCCAACACCCTTTATTTGGTACTCCCTTCTCTATCTGAGTTTCCTTTTCTCCTAGCATGTGCGGCTGGCCTCCAAGTCATGGAGCAAACCTTCTGGTATTTATCTCGGCTATTCTTGGGTGTTAGTCTCCTATTTTGTTGAACATTGCATAAATTTAAGGTATACAAAAATCTCTGAGTTTTTTCTGTTTTGTTTTGAGGCCATACCCAGCTAAGTTTAGGGCTTACTTACGGATCACTGCTGGTAGGACTCAGATGCCAGGTGCCAGGGATAAAATCTGGGTTGATCATTTGCAAGCAAGTGCCTTATCCACTGTACAATCTCTCTGGCCCTAAAAATTCTTTTAGGGTTTCGCACATGCAGGGCAAGTGCTGCTCCTCTAAACCACTTCCACAACTAAGGTTTAACTTGACATATTTATATTTGTAATATGATTGCAATTATCATCTCTACCACTCCAGGATATGCATATCTTTTTACCAATTGCAGTAATTTCTAGTCTCTTAGCGGTTATGATGATTATAATACAATATTGTTGCCTCTATTAACTATAGTGTGCATTAGCTCTCTTGGAATTATTTGCTGCTTGTTGCAAGTTAAATAACATCTGGGTTTCCCCACCCTATCTCCTTTTTAAAATAAGGGGAAAAAAGATCTCTTCATAGGATTCAACCCCTTACTCCATTTGCTGCAAGAAATGAGCAAATAATAAAAACGAAGAACCATTTAAAGCAAAACAAAAATACAATGCACAAGTCTCCTCATCTCAATAAAATTTTTTAAGTTATAATTTCTACCAGCAGTATTTTTACAACATGAACATATAATCACAGCCAACTGAAATTTTGGATCTGATTAATTCATAGCCACGTGCTATTCACTAGAAAGTCTCTGTTTCACAAGACTTGAGGAGACATCTCCAGTCCTCAGAGAAAAATAGTCCTGCCAGAGGCATCACCTTCTCCCGCTGGGAGCTTTGTGCGCTCAGTTCAGAATGAGAGAATGAAAATCAAAACTCAGAGTTAAAAAGCAAAGACATAACCCATCTCCTGAGAAAGCACAGAACCTTTCCCTTAGAAGCAACTTACTGGGTAACTGTGAACAATTCTGATAGAAATTAGAAATAAAATCCCAGTCTTTTGTAACCAAAAAATTGGATCCACCATGTATAAAATCTAGATTCCTGTTACCTTTGCACTTGCCCATGTTGGAATAATCGCTCTCTGGCCCGGAGGCAACCTGTGAAACACGCTTCCAGTCAGCATTATCATCTGAACTTTGAATCATACCACACACGTTCTCCAGTTCAAAATCGCATGAATCCATAAAGCTCAAGGAAGAGGCTACAAAATCACACACATGCAAAAAAAAAGATTTACATTTATGACAGAGGACATGATAACCCAAGTAATAAAATTTAATTTATTACACAAGTATTCATGAGAAGTAACAGTAACTAGCTAGCTCTGGACTGAGGGTTCAAAGACCTCCTGGCATCAGCAGAACCAAGAGATGCTCAGTCCTGTAGATCTCTGTTGACTGCCTGAGCCTTGTTTTCCTCATTATCTAAATAGTAGAAATCCAAGTCTTCACTCTCCTTTTCAGATTAATCCCCAAACCAGATGACCTGATTTTAGTTATGCAACCACTGTACAGGATATCTTGACTGGAAAGAGTTGTCAAATTGGTCTCCATGTGAATTAGGAACAACTTCAAAACGATGTATGGGACTCAGTTTTATATCTGAAGACAGAATCTGGGAGATGAAAATTATTGCTAACAAATTGTAGGTTGGGATCTGTGTGTGCTTTACCGGTTTGTTGTTTTCTTGGTATCAAATTGAAATCAGGACAAAGCCCAATATTTAAGAAAGGCAATTGTCCTTGCTTCAACACCTACACACAAAGTCAGTCAGCCCTCATTTCACCCCAAAAGTCTAACTTCATGTTTTGGTTTGCAGATAAGATTGAGTGTGCCACAGGGAACCAGCACACAAGGGGATTTGATTATTCATTCTAGCACTCACTGGTCTGAAAACCACCCAAACCACCCTCTCTAAAACTTGCGTTTCCCTGTTCTCTTTCTATATGAAAACCTCTTAAACTGTGAAATCAAGATGGTTGCTTGTTGCCAATAAAACTCTTCCTCAACATGTCTCATATTTGATTGGCCCCCAAGCCAGATGGCAGGAAAACTGAATCTTCATGGTCACAATTTTCTATAACTTCAGAAAACTCAGTGCAATGTTCAGCAAAAAGGCATAGAACATAATTTTTTTTCTCTCATGGCAGAGAAAATTAAATTTTGTCAAGGAACCTGTTACATACAGCAGTTATACAGTCGATTCAACTTCAAGAGATCAGAGTCGCTAAAATCCATTCGCTGTCCAATCACATCCATGAAGTCTGAGATTCTTGTTACAATTGTTGGTTCTGATCCATTTTGGAATGCAGTTTTACTGTAGTGCATTACCGAAGTATAATCATAGGGAACATTCAGGAAGTCTGAAGTTTTGTCATCATAGGTGTTAAAGTTGCTCTCTTTGCCTAATTGAAAAAAATTTAGATTCCTTAATTACTTGATGTTCACAAAATAAAGCATGTCTAACTCCAAATAATATTAACTTAAAAACAAAACTGTAATAATCATAGACAAACCTGTGTTGTAATTGATCTATGGTATTTCAAGAACATTTTATATATTACTATCTTAGAATTTAACATTCAAGCTAAGAAGTATGTTATCAGGACTCACGCTGAACAGATATGAGGTGCCATTGCTTTTGAGTTAGATACCATCAATTGACCTAAGGCTTTTAGAATTGCTGATGTAAGTAGGGGGCTGGACCATATCCATGTGGGATTTTGGGTTTGGTCTCCAGCCTTGCAGAACTGGGATCAGCTACATGGAGGCAAGTCTCAACCCCTCTACACCCACAAATGTTTAATTATACATTATTTTAATTTAAAGGTTTTTTAAATATTGTTGAAACAGAGCCATTGACAGGTAACTATGGGAGGGTGGGAACATTGGCAGCAGATGGAGGCAAAGTAAGAGAAGTTTGGGAAGAATAGTGGAATGAATTGTGAATGATAAGGTAAACTGGAATCATTAGGAAGGATTGGCAGTTGGGTTTCATGACTACTGGAATATGTGTAGATGGGTTTTTTTGTTGTTTTGTTTTTGTTTTTGTTGTTTTGCATTTTGGGTCACACTCAGCAATGCTCAGGGGTTACTCCTAGCTCCCTCTGCACTCAGGAATTACTCCTGCTTGGGGGACCAAATGGGATGCTGGGGTCAACTGCATGCAAGGCAAACAACCTACCTGCTATACTATTGCTCCAGCCCCGGTAGATGTATTTTAAATGAATACACTTAGAGAACATAATTTGTCAACTAAAGTCATATCTATTATTGAGCAACTGATTTGCAATTTGAAACTGCATGAAACTGTGCACAAATAAAGGAATAAAGGTGGATCTACTTTTCAAAGCATGAAACTTCTACCCTCTTTTCCCTCACCCGCCCCCCCCCCCAAAAAAGACTTTTTTGAAATCTTTAAGAGTGAAGCATTGATTAACTCTGAACACTTTCCTGGCTTTAAAAATCTTGGCTCTAAATGTCTATAGCTACACTTTACCTTCGCCAGACACTCAGAGCATCAGACATTGTGAGGACTGGGACTGGGGATAAAGACCAAGAGCGTGATGCTTTCATGTTAAGAATGTGATGTCAGGAGATGCCGTACTGAGCAATCCTTATAGTGTCTCACAGAATAGCAATGCCACTGCCTACTCCAGATCCTATGGTTCAGTTTTGGTTTTTCACAGAATTAGGGATGGAATCCAGGACCTAGCATATACAAGACATGAACTCTACTGCTCAGCTTTACCTCCAACCCCTCACCCATATTCTAGGAGGTCTGGAAAGAAGTGTGTGTGTGTGTGTGTGTGTGTGTGTGTGTGTGTGTGTGTGTAGGGAGGTGGGGGGAGGGGTGGGTATAGAATTAGGAAAACATGAACTCTAGTCATGAACGGTCATAAGCCTGTCTCTTATGGAATACAAAGTCACAAAAAGCTTGGGCTACTAAATACTGAAGTATTTCTCAGTAGGCATTCCATGAACTCATCCTCATACTGCAAAGTCCCAAATATCCCACAAAAAGTAAAAAACCATAATATGAACACCTTAGGAAAAGGTTCTTTTCTTGAACATTTGCAACTCATATGTTAATCTTATGAATGGCAGTGCCCCCAACCCAGGGGCTCAGACAAAGTGCGTGCTCTACCTTGAAGCACATCCCTGATCCTAGAAGATTATTCTTTTAGCCTTGGGTTTTCTAAACAACTTAAACCACAGACCCCTTTGGTTGACATTCTGTAGGATACACTGCAGATGACACCTTGTAGGGCAGTCTTCCATAAAATATTTACAAAATTCTAGTTTCTGAGAAGCAATAAAGGGGTTGAGATCTTGCATGCAGTTTACCTCACTTCGCTCCTCAATACCTGCCAATGTCTGCCAAGCACCACCAGAAATGGCCCCTAAGAATAGAACCAGGAGTAAGATCTCATACTCCTGCATGTGGCCCAAACCTCGAAGAGAGAGAGAGAGAGAGAGAGAGAGAGAGAGAGAGAAATACTAGCTTCTCTGATCACATTAAGCTCAAAATTCCTGGGGTTTTGGAATTCTAACACCTCCACACCTTCAGGCATTGAACCTATAATGAGTTAGAGCTAAATGAGGTAAGACTTCAAAACATCACTGGTTTCCCATTGGTAACAGTCATCTTTGAAGGCAGGAGATGAAAATGGAACATACTTAAAAATTCAGTCTTGGAGGGGTCAGAGAGATAGTACAGTGAGTAGGGTTTGCCTTGCATGCTGGCATGATGCCAGCTCCTCATATGGTCCCCCAAGCCTTGCCAGGAGAGATCCCTAAGTGCAGACGCTGGATGTGACTCCCCCCCCCCAATTCAGTCTTAGAAAACACAAAATTATGCAATTTGCCACACCATAGATGGAACTAAAGGAAATCATGAAGATTTATGGCAGTCGGAAGGAAAAGGATGGATATAATACTTAATGCTTTAATAACCCCATACAGAATGTTCTGTCTTCATATGTGGAATTTAAAGATACATCTAGGAGCAACAAAGAGCCACAAGGAACAGAATTGGAGTGAACTGGTCCACAGAACTGAGTTAGGGGGGTTGTGTGGGTGTTCCACGAATGATCCCAAAGAGGCCTCTGGGGCCTTTGGTGGAAGAACAAGAGTACTCTGGTGCTGGGTGTAGTGCTGGAACAGTGTACATGTAGAATCATCGTTACCAGTATTGTACATCACAATACCTTAATAAAGATTTAAATAAAAAAAATTAGTCTTAGGCCAGGGAGATGGTTTAAACAGCTAAAGCAAATGCTTTGCACATGGGAGACCTGTGTTTGATCCCTGGCATGGCATGGTCCCCGAGAACTACCAGGAGCAACTCCTCAGCACTAAACTGGAAGTAGTCTCCTGAGCACTGCCAAATGTGACCCCAAAACAAACAAATAAAAAGAAAAAAATCTAACATTTAAATTTTAAAAAGTTTTTTTAAAAAAAAAAAAACAGGGACTAGAGCGATAGTACAGCGGGTAGGGCATTTGCCTTGCACGTGGCCAACCCGGGTTCAATTCCCAGCATCCCATATGGGTCCCCCAAGCACTGCCAGGAGTAATTCCTGAGTGCCAAGCCAGGAGCAACCCCTGTGCATCACCAGGTATGACCCCCCCCCAAAAAAATAAGTAAATAAATTAATTAAATTAAAAATAAATAAATAAAATTTAAAAGGATAAAATGTAGCTCTGCGTTATGCGTGTATGATATCCTGCATGTATGATGTCCTAGCTGGCCTCTATCCCCAGCATTGCAAAACAGGCAAGCAAGCAAACAAGAGAAAGGTACCTTCTTGAATTCTGTCCCAAACTATCTCAACGTAATCGTCCCGATCAGAACGTGATTGCTCGTGCCAGAATCCCAGCGCGTGGAGGAACTCATGTTGGATCGTTCCTATTCTGTCGCAGTTAGTGCCGATGGAGAGTTCTTGCCTCCCAGATTTCCTGTTTCCCACTTTAGACCAGCACCTAACCAGGGAGTTTATAGAAGGGAGAAAACGGATTAACATGGTGTAGATTGAAGCTTTAAGGCAATATCCCCAATTCCAAATTGACTTAGGCATTCTACACATCTCTGGACACTATACATTTATCTTCTAAGCTTGGTGAGGAGTGAGATCCTGACAAGAGATTGACTTTGACGACAGGACATAAAAGCAAGTCATCCCCTCATCAGGCTACACCAGATTTTTCCTGAAATTTTCAATGTTTTTCAGGTCCTCTGGGTAGGTTATTCACCTTTAGGAGTTTTTATTTCTATGTGTTATTGGGTCACACACAAAGGTTCTCAAGCGCTGCTCCTGGCTGACAGATTGCTCCTGAAAGTGCTCAGGGAAGCACGTGGTGCTGGGGATCAGGCCCCAGGCTCTTGTATGCAAAGCCTGTACTGCAGCCCGCTGGGCCATTTTCCTAGCCATGAGGAACAATTTTCTAGGTATAACCAGATGGAATTGCTGACTTCCAAGAAAATAAGACTTTCACCTCCTTAACTCAAGTAGTAAGAGTTTCTGGGTTAGCATAAATGTAAATACACATATATTCTCACACATCTGCTTTACTGAAGAGAGAAGTAAGGGCTATGTGAACTACTGATGGTAAAGAAACTGATGAAGCGCACGGTACCGCAGGGTCCATGACACAGAGTTCAGCCAACTTGTCCTAATATCAGTAGGCTGCTTACATGGAAATGTTATTTTTATGGCTAGAGTACTTTAAACAGCCCTTATTTCTTTCTTAAGTAAACCAGATGTGTGAGTATGCATGTGTATTTATATTTATTTTAACCTCGCAACCCTTACTACTCAAGTCAAAGAGATGACAGTCTTATTTTCTTATTTCTCTATTTATGGCAGGAGAAACTAGATTCAGCTGTTTTATCATTCTAAGTTTTGCTTAGTAGTCATGTACATGGGCTGGAGCAATAGCACAGCGGGTAGGGCGTTTGCCTTGCATGAGGCCAACCAGGGTTCGATTCCCCCTTCGGAGAGCCCAGCAAGTTACCGAGAGTATCCTGCCTGCATGGCAGAGCCTGGCAAGTTCCCTGTGGTGTATTCGATATGCCAAAAAACAGTAACAAGTCTTACAATGGAGACATTACTGGTGCCTGCTCGAGTAAATTGATGAACAATGGGAGGACAGTGCTACAGTGCAAGTTTTGCTTTGTTTTTGGTTTAGTTTGGGGCCCACTGAAGGCAGCTGCTGGGAGGCGAGGCTGGTCTGAACTCGGAGCTATGGGTTTGCTCCAGCATGTAAAGCATGTGCTCCAGCCCTGTGAGCCCTCTCCCAGGTCTGAGCCACCTCATATTTCACTCTCCAGCAAACTGTAAAGAAGCTGCACCCCACACTCAAGGTCAGGGCGTAGGGCGACACTGTGATCTAATGTCCTAAATACCACACTTCTCATCAGGATTCTAAGAAGACAAACTCTTCTACTCACCCACTGCCCTTGAACACTGATATGTAATTAGCTTCTCCAGTCCAAGGCTTGAAATCAATGCAGGTTTTTAGGCGATAACGTTCAAATGCTTGGAGGATAAGTCCCTTAGCATTCATTTCTGAAGATAGAAAACAAACAAAAATAGACTTAAAATGGTCACCATTGCATCTGCAATTGTCTGTTCATTGCAGCACTCTTTACAATAGCCAGAATCTGGAAAAAACCTGAGTGCCCGAGAACAGATGACTGGTTAAAGAAACTTTGGTACATTTACACAATGGAGTACTATGTAGCTGTTAGAAAAGACGAAGTCACAAAATTTACATACAAGTGGTACTACATGGAAAGTATTATGTTAAGCGAAATGATTCAGAAAGAAAGGGATAGACATAGAAAGATTGCATTCATGTGGGGAACATAAAGTAACAAAATAGGAAACTAACACCCAAGAATGGCCGAGATTAGTACCAGGAATTTTACTCCATGACTTGGAGGCCAACCACACATGCTAGGGAAAAAGGGAGCTCAGATAAAGAGGGGAACACCAAATAAAGGTGTTGGGAGGATCCTTCCAGGATGGGAGAAGCATGCTGAAAGTAGACTATAGACCAAACATGATTGCCACCCAATGTTTCTTTTGCAAACCACAACACCCAAAAGGAGAGAGAGAACAGATGGGAATGCCCTGCCACAGAGACATGGTGGGATGGGGGGGATGGGGGGTGGGAGGGATACTGGGATCCGTGGGGGTGGGAAATGGGCACTGGTGGAGGGATGGGTGTTTGATCATTGTATAATTGAAACCCAAGCACAAAAATGTGTAAGTCTGCAACTGTACCTCATGATGTCTCACTATTAAAAATTTTTATAATAAAAAAAAAAATGGTCACCATTGAACAAGTCACCATGAAAACAAGCCATACAATACACTGCTTATCATGAATTAGACCCTTCCTGAATGTTTAGTGTTTTGTTTTTTCACAAAATTTAGTATTCCCCCAAGCACAAAAATTTGTAAGTCTATAACTGTACCTCGTGGTGTTTCACTAATTAAAAAATAAATAAATAAAAATTTTTTAAAAATTTAGTATTCAGTAACAATTAAGTATCACAGTAAATATATGGGTTTTCAGATTTTTAAAATTTTATCTCATCTTTCTTTCTTTCTTTCTTTCTTTTTTTTTTTCAGCTTTCTGAGTCACACCCAGCAATGCACAGGGGTTACTCCTGGTTTTACACTCAGGAATTACTCCTGGCGGTGCTCAGGGGACCATATGGGATGCTGGGGGTTGAACCTGGGTCAGCCTCGTGCAAGGCAAACACACTACCTGCTGTACTATCGCTCCAGTCCTTCCGTATTTATTTCTGTAGAGTCATTAAAGGAGCATTACTAAATAGCAAAAAGTGGTGGGGGCAGGTATTTCCTTACCTCGGAGAATGTGTTCATGGAATCAAAGGTAGTCACAATGAACAAGCCACCATACAATGTGTATTTAAACTGTCACTGTGACTCTTGTCACCTGAGGTCTTTACAATGGAAGGTTCATGAATAGGCTGAAATAATGGATCAGTCAGCTACAGTGATCTCTGTATCTAGATCTGTAAATGCAAAGTGCACTTTCTGGTGTGGACTAAAGAAAACAGAAGAGTTCTGCATTCTACTGGAAATGTCTCCGGCCACCACCACCTGCATGTCAGAGCTACCTCAGAAACTGGGGTCAGAAAAAAACATCATTTTTTTTGCTGAGGAGAGAAACAAAGAAGCAAGCAGAATGCCCACATTTTCAAACTCCATATATAGTTTATAAGATGCACCCTAATATCTATGGGGGTATTTTCTGGGATAAGAAATTCAAATCTGGTGTTCAAGAGATGGTACAAAGACTACTGCACTTGCCTTCCAGCAGTCAATTCTATTTCAATCCCCAGCACTGCACATAGTCCCCCAAAGCACTTCCAGAGGTGACACTGAGCACAGAGCCCAGGATTAACCTCTGAACTCTGCTGGGAGTGGCATAAACACATCGCCCCTCCAAAAAAGAAAAAGTTCAAATCACCTCTGTTCCTTTCACCTTTTCGTACACACATGGCTCTGAGCGAATTTTGTGAGGTGAAGGTATAGCTTTGAAGTCATGAATAACACTTCTTTATTAACTCAGAATGTTAGAATCCAATCTTCTTTAGTTAGCTGAATGCATTAGAAATTCACTAGATATTTCTTTTCTTTGTTAAAGAACAATTATGAATTCTGTCTGTGATGCAATTTACTATATAAACTGAGACCTAAGAGGGACTTGGGGTGGATAGTCAGGGAACGCTGATGGTCTCCCAAAGCTAGGACCTCACTTTGGATATGAATAACCTCTTTAATAAATTTCTCTTTTATTGATCTTTGAATTTGCAGGGATTATTTCACAGCAGGGATTATTTCAGACAATGCATAGGGTGCTCATAAGATTCCCAAATGAATTCAGGACTCAAATTCGGGTTAAGAATCATTGCTTTAGGTAGGACATTTGCCTTTCATGCAGCCAATCCGGGTTCGATTCCCAGCATCCCATATGGTCCCCCGAGCATGGCTAGGAGTAATTCCTGAGTGCATGAACCAGGAATAACCCCTGTGCAATGCTGGGTGTGACCCGAAAAGCAAAAAAAAAGAAAAGAAAAAGAATCATTGCTTTGGGGCCAGAAAGATAGTACAGCATATAGGGCGTTTGCTTGCATGGGCTTACCCAGGTTCTATCCCCAGCACCCCATATGGTCTCCTACGCTTCCCAGGAGGGATCCCAGAGAACAGAGGCAGTAGCAGGAGCAAGACCCAAGAACTGCTGCATGTGGCCCCCAAACAAAACAAAACAAAACAAAACAAGAATCATTGCTTTGGGATGAAATACAGTGCTAAGAGTTTGGGTAGATATAGAACTCAGAGAAGGCCAAGTTAACAAGAAAGTTAACAAGACACTGGGGGAAAATGCTGGAGGAAAGGGAACACTAAGTACATGTGCAAAGAGGGTTCGCTCTGGAGTGGAAAGTTCTAGAGTCGTTGCCAGAGAGCAAGCTTGAGGACACCGCCCAAACAAAGCTCTCCCCTGTCCCCCCCCCACACACACACACTTACTTCTACTGTGTAATTGTCAACTTCATTCACAGTTGTGATTTTTGCATTATGATCAGTGAAATGAAGAAATAAACTCAACTTAGCAGGAATTAGAGAATTAGAAGAGAAAGTAGTGTAAGGAGTCAAGTCAAAGGCACACTTCTCTAATACTGTTTTGCTCCCTTCCCCATGACAGGACTGTACACAGATCCTAAGGGAGATCACTCAGGACACAATGCTAGGTGAAAGTCAAGAGCAAGATTCATACAGGCAATGCACTCTCCTTCCTGAATCTTTTAGAATGCAGTTTCTCAACTGGGAGACACAAGGCCTTTTGTGGGTCTCTAGGATATTCCAAGAGGATCACAGGTGAAATCTCGTAAGTGGGAGGCCTGGAGGTGCCACAGCACAGGACTAGGGGGGCAAGCTGTAGGCTGGGAGATGACAGGAAAGAAACAAGGTCAAATGGGGCCAAGTTAGAAAAGGCTGAGGCAGTGTACTAGAGGCGCTGTGGGCTCATCCCGTTATAAAACCACATTCACAGCCTCTATTTATTGAAATAAGTTAGAAAATGGCACTGAAAGAAGGAAAAAATTATATAGTAATTTCACCCATTAACATTGCTATTAATATTACTATATAATATTAATATTATATTCCATTGATGTTTGTATGTATTAATCTATTATATTAATATTACTGTATATACTAATAATATATATAGTAATTTCACCCATTATCTTTATGTATCACGGCAGAGCCTGGCAAACTACCTGTGGTGTATTCAATATGCCAAAAACAGTAACAACATCTCACAATGGAGACGTTACTGGTTCCTGCTCGAGCAAATTGATGAACAACGGGAGGACAGTGCTACCATGCAGTGCATCTTTATGGATATATAATATACATTTTAATAAAAAAAACAAAGTCACAGCTTATGTATTATTTATAAACTCTTTTTCCCCACTGACTGATATACAATTAAAATACATCTTTTTCTTTCTTTTTTATATTTGGGGGGGCACATCTGGGCAAGCTCAGGGGCCATACCTGGCTTGGTGCTTGGGGTTGCTCCTCGCATTTGGGGAATCATCTTGTGCTCCAGCCATTTGACCTACCTCCCAGGCCCCTTATTATTCATACTTTCATACTTAAAGTGTTATTCTTGTTAACTTAATGGCTACTGTCACTGTCACTGTCCTCCCGTTGTTCATCAATTTGCTCGAGTGGACCCAGTAACGTCTCCATCGTGAGACTTGTTGTTACTGTGTTTGGCATATTGAATACATCACAGGGAGCTTGCCAGGCTTTGTCGTGCGGGCGAGATACTCTTGGTAGCTTGTGGGGCTCTCCAAAAGGGGCAGAGAAATCAAACTTGGGTCAGCCATGTTGGCCGCATGCAAGGTAAATGCCCTACCACTGTGCTATCGCTCCAGCCCCTTACTGACTACATTATACAGTTATTATATATCTTTGTATATATATACCATATTTCACTAATCTTCACAGAGTCATACCAATATTTTGTAAGAGTAGAGTGTGATCATTATGTAAAGCTTTTTGTCTGTTTTTGTTGTTGTTGTTGTTGTTGTTTGGGTTTTAGTTTGGGAGCCACACCTGGCCGCACTCAGGCTTATTCCTGGGTTCGTGCTTAGGGGTCACTGGCAGTGCCTGTGAGAACATATGTGGTACCATTGGTGGAAACCAAATTGGCCATGTGCAAGGCAAGCACTCTTTCACTACCTTGCAGCAGGGGGAACAAATTCCACAGAAACAAAAAATCTAAGTGAAATAATAAAATACAATAAATAAAATGACAATTACCACCACATAACTGTTTTAGAATAGCGTATCGCAGAAGCATACTAGCCTAAGCTTTCCATCAAAGCTTAGTGAGAAAAGTTTCTATCTGCACTGAAGTTTACAATTTTGCTTGTTTGAGGTCATACTAGTTTATAGCATTCTGAATGTCAGATGCATAACATCTAGAGTCAGAGAGGTAGCTTAGTGGGCTGAGT